TAGCCTCCTGGCACTGTGAGTCTCTCCTCCATACTCCCCACATCACACAGAAAAAGCTTTCCAAATTTCTCTTCAGTCTGTGAACCACTTTTCAAAGTAAATGGGCAGTCTACAAAACTGGAAGGAACTAGAGGAACCGGAACTGCAAGGTTTGTGAGAGGCAGGAAATCCAAGGGAGTTGGGGTAGGAGCTGCCCATACAATATGGGGGAAAGAGGAAAGAGTGGATCAGGCAAAACCGTGGTAAGTGCCCCCAAACTCTCCACTGCATTTAGAAGAGATTCCAAATCTTTTGTGTTAAGGTCTTTTGCAAGTTTATACTCTCTTGGGTTGGTTGGTTGGTTTGTTGTTTGTTTTAACTGTCAAAGCTACTGCAAGATTCCAGGCAGGTTGGCTCCCTTGATCCTCCTTAACCTGTCACCGGTTACTTCTTCCATACAAATGAACCTGTCTGCTGGCCCCTGCTCCCAATTCTAAACCCAGTCTCCACCACTGAACTCAGAACTCAAACACATTCGGAAGATTCATCTTAATTAAATCCACTTCTGCATATCTCTCTTAATAAAAGCTGGGGGCGCCTGGGTGGCTCAGTTTGTTGGACATCTGACTCTCGATTTTGGCTCAGGTCATGATCTCAAGGTCACAGAATCGAGCCCCATGTCAAGCTCCGTGCTCAACTCAGAGTCTGCTTGAGATTCTTTCTCTCTCTCTCTGCCTCTGCCCCTCCCCCTGCTCGTGCTCTCTAAATTAATTAATTAATTAATTTAATTTAAAAAAAAAAAACAGGCTGACACTGACTCTGGGTTTTCCATATTTTTTGTGTACAAGGTCATGAGCTCCTTGATGCAAGTACTACCTTTTTGTCTTTTTCCTATTCCTACCTCATGGTACCTAGGACTCTTCAGCCATTTAAAGACTAACTGTTGATTGGTTTTTGCAGAGATGCCGGTATATTCCAGGAAAAAGGCAATGAAAAAAATGAGAGAGAGAGAGACATGATTAATGACCTAATGATCTCTAACAGATGGAAGCATTTTTGGCTGTTGGAGCTCTAGGGCAATCCATAGCCAACAGTATTGGAATCATGCTAAGCAATGTAAGTTCCAAAAGAAAACTTATTCATACTCCAAATTTACTGGTCCTAGTAGAACAGGTTTCAAGGTACATGTGTTTGTTCTTTCTTGCAAATGTAAGAATAGAAACAAAGAATAATGCCCGCCCC